AGAGCCCAAGTGACAGAGAGTGTGAACAAAAGGTACTTTGATCAAAAGTGGCCCGTGGCTCATATCGTCTGTCGGTCACAGGAAACCAATGATACAGCCAATGCTCCGTAATGGAGACGGACGGATGAGGAAAGGTAAAGTGGTCATCGCCCTATCCAGTCAGGACAGCATGGCCATGTACCAAGCAATTTGCATCAATAATACCTTTTTTTCCTAGGCCCGGCGAGCTGGATTGCGCGTTCCAGCTTATTATTCCCTCCTTTCCCTCCACCACAGCCCTCCCTAGGCTCCCATCCGTCGTCCTGCTTCCACCTCTGCCCAGACCACATTCGACTTGCGCGTGCCCAGATCTCATCAGATCAGATGGGTCGAACACCTCACCGTTCTTTACGAGTCGTCACTCAAGTAGGTTGTGGAGTATCTCTCGACGCCGCCGTCAAGTTACCATTTGGACCTTGGGCCGTACGACCGTCTCGGACTCTTCTTACCCAGGGCACACCTTATCCAGAGTCGCACATCTTCAAATGATAGGGTCTAGTAACGAAGTAGCGTACAACCAAGCTGTGACCATGGCTCGTGTAAATCCCTATCAATCCCAGTCGCAGTTGTGTCCAGAGTTTCGATGACTGGCTGACTTGGGCTTTCGAGCGGGGCTCCAGAAGGGGGGGGGGGGGGGGGGGGGGGGGCACCACCACCCAATTTGATTGACGCCTCGCCGGTGTATCTCTAAGTTGATTGACTGTTTGGCAATTGCGCCGGCAAATGTGAGATAAAACCCTGGAATCCCCGTGGTACCGTATCCGTAGCTGAGCCCCGCTTGCGCGCAAAACTCTCTCATGAATGACCCAATGTACCTTACCTTGAGCGTTTGGCATGTTGCATTGTTTAAGTTGGCGTAATGAAAAGGTACAGCCGTTCCATGTATATCCTCTGATTACGTCTGTCTTACTCGCTTGGCTTGGTCACGGTTTGGATTGGCTTGGCCGGGTTGGTCCAGCTGCCAGTCTGCGCGCAGAGTCCCAACCTAAATTGAATGCCATTGGCTTTTGCTCAAAGTTCACTACCCTTACGTGACTGACTGTACTTGCGAGGTGCCTCTTCAGTCTATTTCGTCATGTACCTACAGCATTTGGTGGTTATCTCTGAATAATGCCGTACCCCTCTCAGGGTATTTAGACCTTGGACTATCAAGTCCATGCATCGGCATCGGTACTCTGCGTCGGTTATCGGTGTCAGGCCTCTGGCATGGTGCAACTAATCTGAGAGAGGGATATCATTAGGTCTACGTACCACAACACACAAAGTACTTGGCAAAAGGTACTTTACTCATTCCACATTATCAACAACCCAGGCGGGCTAGCACAACCTAAGACAACCTGGGCGCCAGCCAGCTGCCACCAAGCGCGTTTCTTGCCTTGTATCCGTATCATGTCGGCCCACCCCTGCCTTGAGTTTAGTTCGCCCTCATCACTCTGTTCCTTCTCTGTTCTGTCCTGAGGTGCCCGGTGGGAAAGTCCGGCCAAGCAGTCGCAAGTTGCAATCAATCGCCATGCGACACGACACACGCAAGAGCGCGTACAACCGACGGCAACTATGCCCGATCAACAGGTCAGTCGCAGCAACTCCAGCCGTTGAGGGCAAGAATTCCTTTCCCAAACACAATGATCTGCTGACCTGAGGCAATCGGCCGACTTGTCGGGCCATCTTTGTCTATCTCTCTCTCTCTCTCTCTCTCTCTGTTCATCTCTCACCACCACCAACCCGCGATCGCCCACGCGTCCGCATTCGGGTTACACCAGTCTCGCCTTTGGGTTCATGAGACAATCACTTACCGTTATGCCTCGGCTGCCATTGCCGTTATCAACAAAAAGAATCGCTTATGCCATTCGAGAGCAAAATTCGACCATCCTGTTCCTCAATCCCCGACATGAACATGGTACTTTGGTATTAACGATGACGAGTCCACCTGGATCGGCTGGCCGGCCCCACGCATCCTTGGAACAGCGTGTAAAGCCGTGGTACTAATATAATAATGCTATTGCTTCAGTGGTGGATCTCCGGGCGTTGACACTGCATCAGCGCATCAGATCGCATCATCCTGGGCGGTTCTTGGTCTCTCCGTCAATCATTTCGTCGTACTATTGTTTTCTATCTCAAGTCTTTTATCCGCGCACCGTTTGCTTCCAACTTTATGAATAGTAGCCGGCGCATTGCTGATGTTTATGTCTTGCCAACTGACACTAACAAGGGCCACGATACTTTACGCCGATCAACCACCAATGAGTTAGTTGTCTGTCGCAACTCCCGTTGCTTGCTTATCCCGCCGGACACACTTGTGACCTCCAACATATTCAAAACAGTGCAAACGAAAAAGGGGGGCCAGAGTCAGAAACCCCAACCCACCCCCCCCCCCCCCCCCCCCTTTCTTCCTTCCAAGAAGCGCTGTCAGGTTGTTAGCAAACGACGGATCTACGATTCCTCAACTCGAAACGCAGCGAGTTACCCTATCTAGGAACTCCCGAAACTGGGGCGCGTGGATGAGGATGAGCAACCTCTCGGGCTGCGCTCGCACCTATTGCCGGGCCCGGCCTGGACCCCATGCTCATTGTTCTTCTCGAATTTTGTGCGGCGGCGCGCACCCGGGGGGATTCCCACCACCTAGGTTGCATGGATATCGGAAACCGCCCTCTCCTTTACCGCCAAGACCAAATGTTCCATCCTGAACTATTCATAACCACATCCCTCGGGCATTCATGGTTGCCCTTTTTGTGCTTCAAGCCTTCAACTCCCGAGTCCCCCGCACGAGCCGGGCAACTCGGCAACCGGAGTTGATGCCTCTTCAAGTTTTGACTCTTGCACCAGCAAAAGTATGCTAAAGGCAGCTGTTACACCCACTGCCACCAAAGAAGAAACCATGCTCGGTATGTTTCACCGGTTGCTGGCATGGCTTGCTGTAGTTTTGAAACTTTCGAAGGTCGCAATAATACGCCCACGTACTGATTTCCTTTTGTAGCGATCGCTAGCGTTGTTCACTGCATGCAGGCTGCTGTCTCGTTGCCTGTGGAGCCCGCAGACACTAGTGTTACGCTACTTGAGCCCTAAGTTGACACCAAAAACTTAACAATTGCATATGGCAACATGGCCGAGTGGTCCAAGGCGATAGACTTGAATTGATCCTTCAATCGTTATCTATTATCTTCGGATGCGCAGGTTCGAACCCTGCTGTTGTCGCGAATCATTTTGCATTTCTCACCAACTCCGTCTTTTTGGCAGCGCCGTCTACCACTGATGCAGTGATCAATTGCCGTCCTTGGTGTCCTTCATTTCATTTCTGTATCCCGTGCATCAAGCTGTGCGGTCACCGCGAGAGTTTGCGGCAATTTCCGCGGCGCACCTCGCCGAAACTTGAAAGTTCCCAAGTTGACAACTACGGTACCACAACTATCCGTACCGCACGTCAACTGAGCACCAGCACCAGCACCAACAAGGCAACTGCCATGCGGGTAAATGATGAGATTGATTTGTTTGATCACCTCATCATTCACCCGCAGGTCCTTTTTGCCAGCAACACAACCTTGATAGACATGAGATAACATACTCACTGGTCTTGGATGCAGAACATCGTCGCACACGCTTCCGTTAACACGGGAGGTAGCAATGGACACGGCAGCAGGCGAGCCTGTACCTGGCAGGTCGGAGGTCCTTCGTTTGATCACCCTTTCTCACTGCTACTGCTACTGCTACTGCTTCCGCTGGAGCTCTTTCCCGCAAATGCCGCATCTACAAGCACTGGATATTACTCGATACTCGAACAACTGACGAGTCGACAACAACGACCAGTCGTTTGAACACTGCGCTGCACCGCCCAATGAAACTCAAAAACAGTAGGCTTCCCTTCCTGGTCACGTCAACAGGGGTTAAATGGGCCTTCACTGCCTCCAGTCCTCTGGCATCCCCGTCGTCAATCCTGATCTCCATGCAGGTGGCAGCCAACCCAACCAACCCCGGCCAACTCAACCAACCCCCCAGTTGACGCATGAGCGCATCTATCCTCTCACCGCGATGACATTTGTTGTTGATCACGGGGGGGGGGTTGCGCATACTTGTCCAACTCCATTTGGGTAGCCTTTTTTTGTGTGGTTTCCAACACTTGGAGGATTGCAACACCGTCCCACGTTCAATAAAAACATCTCAACTGAACACCAAGGTAAGGTGTTCGCCCAAGGGCCAAATGCCACCATGGTCGCGCGCAACCTAAATCCCCAAAAGATGATGAATGGCATTCTGCGTAGCCCCCAACCCCCTGCCCTTCCATGCATTTCAATATTCTCTCTTCCTTCCTCCCTTCCATCCATCGCGCGGCGCGCCCTTGCGATTTTCCCATATGATTACGGATACAGGCAGGTCATTCAGACTTTTGGGTTAAAGAGAACTAAACCCCCTCCCCACAATCCCGTCGGCTCCCGTCTTTTGGAAGAAGGCTCAGCCGGCAGCGGCGCTTGACCGACTTCTCGCCGAATAAGTCGTATATTCCTTCCTGAGCTTAGGCTTACTGGTGCTAATGAAACCTACGGACGCTCAGATCAGTACCATAGGTGTACATTGGGAAATGGGGGAGTGTTCGTATAGCCAAGCCGCCTTCCTGATTCGCAACTCTATACGTTTTTTTGCGATGCCCCCTGCGACTGTAAGCATCAACATCAATTTTCTGCTCGGCGGATACACTAGTTCAAGAGGACAGGTTCACTGTGAGGTGGCCTCTTCCAGACTATAGGTTTCCCACCAGGTGCCGACGAAAGGTACGTCGTTGGCATCTCTATGGTATCAAGTAGTCAGCTATCGCAAATGTGACCTGCTTCCATGACGGTGACGACGACAACTACTACTCTGCATTGCCATATCTGATGCGAGATACTACATTATGCAATCAATATTCCCGCCTGCGCCGCATACCAAAGACGCGGATTCCGCGCACTAGGAGGGAGTCCGCGGCCGTTCTCTCAGACGAGTTTCACTGCATTAAAGTTAATTGTTGACTAAACAAATTCCATGGGACACACGAGTCACCAGATTACTCAAAGTATACACGGATGCAATATAGGATAAGTAAGTATAGCTGGGCTGAGGCTAACTTACGAAACAGCCCTAGAAATCAAGTCGAAATTAACTCGAGTGACTCCGTACTGGCGGCCTTAGAGGGGGAACGAGCGAGCGTGTGAGTAAGTCCTAAGTTGAGTAACTAATTGCGCCTGAGCATGACTCATTTCTTCGGCGACTTGTTGCCTAGAAAGACACGTCCTTTGCACGGCTGTCTATTACGTACATGCCCTTTTCGGTAATGAGCGAGGTCAGACTTTTTCCCTTGTACGGAGTGAGGGCTGTTATACTCTCTAGAAAAGAAATGGGTATTTGGGGGCGGGAGGAGAAAAAGTCTTATGTTGTGGATTCCGGGGTTGTGTAGAGCCGTTCGTGGGCATAGCCTCTATACTCGGTAGCAGGTGCCAGCCGTCTGGGGTTTCCCAGGAAATACTTCAAGGTTTAATGAAGCTGGGGCACTTTAGGATGACCAGAAAGTGGGAACTCGGCAATAGACAGTCCTTTCATTCCATCGTTGAACGGTGAGACCGTGCTGATGTGAGGGGGGGTATCTATCAACCACTGGCGGCGATCATCACGAACCGCAAGCCGGTGAGGCTTCTCTACTTGTACACCTGTCTATACATGCCACAATAGTCTTGGGGGTATCTATCCTGTAGAGTTCGTCCGCCCGCCTCAGCAACCTCTCTACTCCTCAGCCTTGCCGCAACACCAAATTTCCGGTTGAGCGGCAATTATTCACCGACCCCGACCTCGTCCTCTGCCTCCACCCCGTCCACGTCCACCCCTTCCACCCCTCTTCCCGCCTCGGAACCCACCCCGGTTGTCGAATCTCTCGTAAAGCCTCTCCTCTCCAAATGCAGCCTGCCCGAACCTCATAAAGTTCACCAAGCCGCGGTCCACGACGGCGACGAGAACGTTGCGGTACCCGTGCCTCAGACGCTGATACAGTCTTCCTGGACCACCCATTGTGATTGGGTTAGGCGGGTCATACGGCGTTGAGTCGAGCAGTGCCGAGATCTCCTCGATGTCCGGGATTGCGTCGTCGCGTGCGTCGGCGACGGCGATGCGGATGTCTGGCGGCGGGAGATCCGTCACGCGGAGGTTGGGGTGCTTTGAGGGCTTCCAGACGTGCCAGTGGATCTTGTACGGGTCCTCGGGCTGCTTGGGCTCCTGTGGCGCCGGTGATGGCTGGTAGCGGGACAGGAGCTCGAGTTGTTTGTAGACGATGCTGTATTGTCGATAGACGCCCGGCTTGACCAGTGGTCCGTAGGGCGGTGGTGTTGCGGGCGCTGCTGCAGGTCTTTGAAGGAGGGAGACGAGCCATTTCCAGAGTGATTTGCGCGGTGCTTCGGGTGTGTGCGTACGTTCTGTTGGTTCTGGCGGTACGCGTTGGACGTAATATCCTAACCGTCTGAGGTGTGAGTAGACTTGGTATTTCGGAAGTGAGATCTTGCCGCGTTCGCCGTCCAGGCCGATGAAGAATGAGTAGGCGGCTTGTAAACTCAAGGGTACGCCGGTATCAAACTCGTCGTCGGACTCTGCGTCGTCAGGATTGGTCTGCTCGTCTGCAGGCTTCACCTCCGACGGCGGCAGAATCTCCTTGAGCTCGCGATACGGCCACCAGAGCTCCAAGCTACCCCTCTCGACAAGGAACAACGCCTCCTCGGGCAACAGCCACAGCTTTCCCAATGCCGGCCTCGGCGTCTTGAGCCCTCGGATCACTCTGCCCATAGACCTCGCCTGCGGACCTTTCAGCTCCTCCACGACAACGACCCTCTCCTTGGCGTAAATTGGCCTTGTCTCAGTCATGAACTCTTGCAGATACTCGGGCTTCGCCAACCCCGACGTATCCCCATCCTCGATAGCCTCCATGATCTCGGGCCAGTAGTCCGGAAAGTACCAGCCCTTGCTCCACGTATCCCTGTGCACCCTAGTGTATCCCAACACCTCCTCGATGACCTGCCTGCTCGTCTCCAGCGCATTCTCCTGGGCTTTCGTGCCGTGCGACTCAAAGTCCTTTTGGCCCTTGCGGACAGCTTGCGAGGCGACGCCCTTCTTGTTGAACATGGAGGCGAAGAGGCGCATGTCGAACAGGCCTTCGTCCTCGGCTTCGTCGCCTGCGCCCGAGTCATTGTTGAGCTGCGCTGCGGCCGGCGCCGCCGTGGGATTGTCGTCGTCGTCGAGGGGCATTTTCTTTTCGCTTGGCAGGCGCTTCGAATTTTTTGGTGACTCTTCTCGAAGCTGAACCGTTTTTTTTTTCTTTTTCCTCGGGACCTCGATCAATCGGTTTCCAAACTTCCTTTCACGGTAGGTGCAATGTCGAATTGTTTTGCATATCGAGGTGGTGTTGTAGGTAAAGTGCTCGGTGTGAGTCTTGGTCGGGAAGGATCCCCTAGTGGGGATAAAAAAAGATTGGGTAAAGCTGCAGGAGGAACTTGCAAGCTTTGACCAATTGGAGGAGGTGTGCTGGGGTGTCACTGGTCCGTAACTGAAATCAGCCCAAAGTCGAGGAAGGGAAGGGTTCATCATGTTCCTTCTCAATGTACATACCATGCAATCGTAATAACATTCCTCGAGTTGAGGTGCATTGAGCCAAAGCACACATCGTGGACAATTTACTACCTTGTCCAGGACCGTACCATCCCCTTTCCAATTATATAGAAGTAAGGTGGTCACCCTTTTGAAGCACAGCCTTGTCGACTAAAACTTCGATGGTAGTGGGGCCCGGGGCGAATGTCTTGCTGAGAAGTGCAAAATCTTCTTGACGGCCGCGGAGAATTACGACTTTCTTTGGCGTCCCCGCTTCATCAAGATACTCCAGAGAAAGAGGTCGCTGAGCTTTGTAGCATGACAGTCGTCATTCTTGCTGATTATTCAAGGGAACTCTAGATTGAAAGAGCACATACCCTGGCTCAGAGTTAATAGACCTTCCTTTGGGTATATTGGGTAATCTGCGCGAATCCGTCGGTGTCGCTGCTTATGGTGGCGTTGGTAAAGTACTCTCCATTATATATAGTGGTAGGCCCCTTTCCGCTGTATCCAGGCTAGATCTAGCAGCAAGAGGCGGCAAGTGTGTGGGTCGGGAAGACGACAAGACAAGGCTGGGGTTATACAAGTTAAGTAAGGCAAGCTATAGATGCTGACGATTCCGCACATCCGGAAGGCTCTGCGCCAGCCCTCCGGCGTGCCCTCGTTGGTCACGATCGCCACTGCGTTGAGCTGACCGAAGGCGCCCAGCCCGAGAGGGGCAGACTTGTCGGTGGTGACACAGTCTCCCTGTCAGAGTCGTCCCTGACAGAGGGGGGTAAGACTAGGACCGAACCGGGTTACTACACGGTTCGGGCAGGTTAGTCGAATTAAATAAAACGATTAAAGAGTAATATAAAAGAGTAAAATAGAAGAAGATAAGTATAGTGTGTGTTGTTTGGTGCACGTCGACGTGGTTGTTTACCTGGCTTGCCGTTTAAACGGTTGTCTGACTATTTGTTCAGCCGGTGGATGTTGTGATGTTTGTTTGGTGGTTTTGCTTGGTGGTTTTTCTTGGTGGTTTTGTTTGTAAGTGATGGAGTGTCTGTACTTGTGGGTAATGTGATGAGGATAGAATGAATTCTTACGAGCTCTGGTTCGGTAAAAGAGTAACAAGATCTTAGCCCCATTAGCAAAAACCACCACATAGGCGCTGACAGGACGTGGGACTAGCATCCAAACACGACCGATTAAAGAGAGGATACCAGTCTGATGCTAACGCCGCTGTATCCAGTGTTAGGTGGAACTCGCCAGGTACTGCTATACTGCTATACTGCTTTCTGCGCTTCGTTGGAGGACAGAATATGACCAGATAGGACAAAAAAGCAAAGGATATTCGGGCGGTACAGCCACCGGTAATCGAGATTGAGTTTGGAGAGGCACTCAAGAAGGCAGCCAGGACTATCGGCAGTCACTGGACAGAAGGGCACCAGAAAAAACATGTGAAGACCCAAGAGTTATTCCATTATCTGCATAGCCGCTAGAAATAAGCCGTACTTGAATAATTGCTAGAAATTGCTGGGACCCTCTACTTGAAAAGGTTCATTACAAACTCGATGACCGCTAAGCTCGCTCACATGATGTAAGGCAGGTCTGGGGATCGGTTGAATCTATTTCTATGTAACATATTTCAGCAGTGTTGACAGATTCGGAGTGGGGATTACTTACAGCTGCTACGGCACTCTTTACCTAAAGAAGAGACTCGTCCAGAATGATCAAGTTTAGTATTTTCTACGAGGATTGCCACGTTCGCATTTAACTCTTCTAACGCCTGGATAACCGGTTTTTGAGTTTCCTCCATGTGGTTCTTGAGGTTCTTCTGGAGCACTTAAAGGTCTTTCTTTGCGACGAGGCGTTTGGTATTGGAATACCGGCGCGAGGCCCAGGCCCTTGAACGGCTGTTTGAAGTCATCGGCCTTGGTGTGGTACGGATTGGAGACGGCAATATTGCTGGTCGTCATGTAATAATTACCGGGGGTCGTGCTGTAAGGCCTCGTGTCATCAACCTCTTAACTGCAGGGAACATGTTGGTGGTTTTGATATTGGTGCATCGTATCATGGAAAGAGTGTAAGACACGAGGTCTAGAATTGGTGACGACGCAGTGATGGGGTTGTAGTAATGTACCCAGATTGGTATGGTGCTGTGGTTGTTGAGATGGGTGGTGGAGGTGTGGTGGAGGTGTGGTGGTGTATTGAAAAAAGAAGTTGGATTGCAATGGAGAAAATATTGATAATGGAGGACGACAGAGTAGCTTCTAGCCAAGAAGGAAAGAGCGTGGAGGCAAATCAGCCAAGTACCTAGTAGGTAAGAGTGAGTCAATGTGGATTCCTCTCGAAGTGCAAGAAGCTGAGGTATCCATAGTCCATCCATCACCTGCGTTTCCGTCTGAAAATATATACATTGTGCTTTGTATGTGGTCTCAAGGTCGAATTTCCTTGGGTGGCAGGAATTGAGTGCGTCTCGTCTAGAGCATCCAGGCGTGAAAAAGAGGAAATTTTGGACATGCGCGTCCGGTCTAGCTCAAGACTCTCGAGGAAGATCTCATTCGAAGGCGTTCCAACGGTTCTGTCACCGTGAGAGTAATATTGACTATTGGGACCCTTTGCTGTAGGCAGTCAAATTCGAAGTCTTTTCTCTGTGTTAAGGCCAGCCCAGCGGAAGAAATCGCGACCAACTTCCTGAGCAGACTAGGATGCAGCTCCTATGAGACTTCTTGAGGAAAATATGGATATGAAGTGCCTGATGCTAGATAGGTGAGGTAGGTATTAACATCCTCAAATCACATTTCAATATCATTGTTCTTCTTATTCTTCTTAAGTATCGCCTCGTGGGTCATGGACCCCTCCAACATCTGTACGTAAGGTCTGGGACCGCCCTGAGCAGCTCGTTTAGGAGCTTGGATCGGACCCTGACTATATAGCCGTCGCGGAGCCGGAGCTGCGTAAATACGTCGTCAGACTTATCATCTCCATCTTCTGAGGACTCCTTCTTCATCGCCATGTCCTGATCGGAAACATTAGGCTGATCCCGGTTAAGAATCGTGGCGCTTATGTCGAGGACATGTCGAAGTGTCCGATCTTTGGCATCTCTTACGGGAGTAATGAAACCTTGGGTACCACATTCCCGAGGCGCTCACGGGCGGAAGGTTCTCCGCTCCACCCGACGGCGACGCTGTTGCCCAATAGTCCGCGGCAGACAGAGACCAGCCGGATACCGACAAGGAGGATATGGACGATGGGTCATGAACTCCTCCATCATCTTCACAACCCCGTCCAGGCGCTGTACGGGTGGAAGATTCCCGGCTCGGCCAAGTACCCCGCTATGCCTCTGCAGATCGACGTCACGCAGTTTCTGGCCTCCGAGATGTCAACGCACTCCAAAAGCTTCAGGACTGCCTCTGTGAGGTTCATCGACGAGGACAGATGCTGACGGCCGTACGATGCCACCGCCAGGCCCTTGATCGTCTCGGTGCCCCTCTTTTGCTGCTGGAAGTGTTACTTGACACTTGTGGCGACGTATAAGAGGATGGCATCACTGTCTCTAACGGGGAGATGCCAGCGCCTTCGAGGTGTTCTCTGCCTGTCGGATTATAAGGCCATTTGACAGTGCTCGTCTGTACCTAGAGACGATCGTTGTCAGCATTATGCCGCAAGGCCGTTAGGCTCGTTCAATAATATCAACGGAGGAATAGAGCAAGCTTGGGCCAGAGTTCCTGGGAACTGTCCCGGCGTCTTGGGCCAGTCTGCGACTGTGCTCTCCCGCTGTCGCTTGTTGTTGGGGACTTGACAGTCCATGTCACTAGACACAATCGCAAATGATCTCAGGCCTGCAGATGAGTCCTTTGCCTCGCGTAGGTATGATGTTTCTCAGTGTACAAGATATGTGCAGGGCGGCTTCGGCTGCCGTTTGGGATGTCGGCACTGCTCTTCATTGACATGAGGCTAACGAGCATGTATAAATGCTCGTAGGGGATGCGAAAGGTGTCTCTGAGGCATTCGGGAAGAGTCGGTTTGCGAATCCTTGACGTCCAACTGGCGGATGAGTTCGATCGTTTAAGTGGCCGCCCACATTCGTCTCTCGGTCCCACAACCTATATATTGGTGAATCGGCGGCCCGTGATAGCGGCGGCGACCCCTGTCCCCGCTGCCGGTAGCGCCGAAGTTTGACTTTATTTGAACAGCCACCCAACCATTTCCTTTAGTTTTGAAATCACTGGGATTTTTAGAAATGTTGTCACAGCCCAGTCCATAAGAGGATCGAGACTCTTGTCGCTGCCATTTCGATTTCACCCATGTATACAATCAAGTTGATTTATGTACGAATGTAAATATGTATTTCAGAATTTCCGTTTGCTATTCCTGAACTAAACACAAACAGCCCCTGGTCGTCGGCATGAAGCTTATTTTTCCACCAAAAAAACGAACTTTGTACAACTTTCACGACACTCATGTACACTTGTCTCTCCTCCTATATACCAACCGCACCCAAGCCCACCATCGGAATCAAAAGGTTTCTAGAAGTCTAGAAACCTCTCATCTTAGATAGCCCGAGCTCTAAGCTTTCAGCACCAACAAAAATGTCAGCGGGGTTTTTAAGCAGACGGGGTAGAGGTGGGCGGGGCACCGGGGGGAGCACCGGGGGGAGGAGGGCCACCCGGTCCACC